AAACTGTCACTCCTGAGCCAAGTTGTTTAGAGATTCAGCCCTTAAGCCTGAGCACTTCATACGGCTGTTTGCTGAGCGAGCTTGGTCTTGCAGCTGAACCTGGTATGTGGGCTCAGCCCTATTTCTTTATTTAATGCAGTGTTTCTCAACCTTAGCAACTTTAAGATGTGTGGACTTCAACTCCCAGAATTCCCCAGCCAGCCATGGGGAATTCTGGGGGTTGAAGTCCACACATCTTAAAAGTTGCTAAGGTTAAGAAACACTAATTTAATGTATTGTGTTTTGTACAAACCCAGAAAATGGACTAATTTACTAACCTATGTGCTGTGTGATGCCCAGGACTGCCTCCTCACCATGGCACTGTTCTTGCTCACCTCACCAGCAAATAACGCTAGCAGGGACTGCGGGCATCAGCTACAAGTCTATGATGACTCTGCCCCAGTAACTTCTTCCCACAGCCTGCCACCTAGAATGATGCTCCACTTGACCACAGGTTCAAGCAAACTCTGGTGCACCCCTTGGCCTCCACCCCTGTCAAGATCATCCTCAAGGGCCAGAGAGATAGCCTGTCCAAAGCCCCAAGCCCACTTCTGGCGATGTGTTGCTGGCCTGATTGAACACGGCCTCCTTTCTCTCTGAGCGCATGAGACGGAAGCTGGACTTCTCGCGCGCACTGGATCAGGGTGCAAAAGACACACCAAGGAAGAACCACCTACTGGCTGAAGAGCCTGGACAGTATTAAGACAGACCCTCCTGCTGTCGCATTCCTTGCTGGATGGACCCTCTACAACCCGGGATTCCCTAATCACCAACTGGCTGGGCACCCCTCCTTGGCTTCTCTGACACAGATAGCTTCAGCGATTGCAGACACAATAAATGACCTGATGCAAACTGGATCTTTAGCTTCCGCCTACCTTACACGGTAGAGTTGACTTACTTGTCTCTCTTGTTTTGCATATTGAGCGATTAAGGTCTGTCACTGCAAAAAGAGGAAGGAGGTATGAAAGGGTCAGCAACGGAGACACACAAAAATAATTGTCCGATGGGCTCTGCATCTGGAGCACCTGAACTTCAGGAGCCCTGCTGACTATTTGCAAAGTACTGAAATAAGAAATAAGCAGATTCTAGATTACTGTCTCACAAACACTGCTTTGTTAAAAACGACTGCATTTTTAGATGCATTCTTGCTACCTGCAGCTGCCTTAAGTTAAGCTTAGGGGCACGGAAGCAGAAATGGTCCTTCGGAGCGTGAGTGCATACAATATGCCTGTTGGCACCTGCTTAAAGCTGTCTTTTCCGGGGCTTCCATTGCATCTGTGCAATTTGCAGAAAAAGAGAGCTTTAAGACACCAGTTGGCTGTGGCAAAGGGACATCCTTAACTCTGTATTTTCCTAGCATCACACAGGCTACCAGGAAAAGATGCCGCTTTCTTAAGGAGGCATTGATAAGTGCAGTTATGTCTGCTTTCAGCTCTGGATCCAAAGCACCTTTCTGACTTTGGACGCAAAGCGTAGCGCATCCCTCGTTAAACTGCTTTGCAACTTCGGTAGTCAGGAATGCTGCCCACCCACTGCCGTGTGATGCCAGCCAAAGACACAGCTGCGCGAAGACATCGCAGTGCTATGTTTGCGTGTGTGGATATTCCAAAACCCCTTCAGAGGGAGAATCAAAACGCAGCAGAGACCTGATGAATGCACCCACCCATAGGAAGAGAGCTTAAGTAGCTTTTGCTACATCCACCAAGTCTGAAATTTGAAATTACTATCCCTTGGCTTAATTACATTTTTCTTTCTATGGCATGCCTGATTTTTATCAGAACCTTTTCCTTTAACAGGGTTATTTCGTGGGATTCTTGTTATTAACTTCCAATATTACAGAGCTCCAGGGAATGCTGGTGAAGAAAAGGCTTTTTCAGTGGTGGATGGTTTTTTTTTTCTCTTTGGGGAGAAAAATGGTAGCTTTGGGTTCTGAATCTGCTGCTGAAACCATGAAAAGAAAAAAAACTGCACACACTTCTCTTTTCACGTGTTCTTAAATGAATGCTTCCCCCGAGATTTGCAACCATGTTCTGTGCCTGTGGAAATTAGGAACCACCCAAAAAGTCTGGGGAAGAAAACAAGAGTGATAATCAAAATTGCCGAATTATATCTTGTGGAGTATTAACACTCAAATCTTCCTCTAATGAGCAAATATTAGATTTCAGTGCTTTGAAAATGATTGGGAAGCACTTAGGAACTCATAGGAATATATCTCTGCTCTGCCTTAACAGAGCCATTTTTTTTTTTAGGCTTTCACATGAGCCTGACACAAAATGCAGGTATTTTAAGTCACATTACGGCACTCATTAAAGCAGCCCCAGGTTTCTTTCTAGTATGCCAGGAACTCTTTCAAAAGACACGGCTGCTTTAATGAGTAGCAAAGAGGCAATGCTTTTACGTGGCTTCCAAGCTCTTATTCCAAATCATTTTCAAAAGAAGCACACAGCCCTGCTTGTTTCATAAGTTTGCTTCTATTTATTTTTGTACATTTTTATACCTCCCACTCACTAGATTCAGGGCGGTGCATAGATTGCATAATAAAACCCATCAGTGTCCTTCTGACAGAATGTGTTAACCCCTTCATTCTTTAAAATCTACAGCTAGAGGCTTACCCAGCATGGACTACTAGGCATCGAATGCCTGTTGGAAAAGACTTTAATGCCTTATGAAGTGTAAGGGCCAAGCACCTCTTGTGTGGCAGTGACTTCCATAGAGGGGCAGCCCCAATAGAGAAGCCCCCCCACCAACCACATCCCTCTTATTTCACATCATAGCAGAGTCGCCAGCAGACCTTCAGATGTCTGCACCCTGGAGTTGAGCCACAGAGGGCTCTGTAGGTAACAACCAGGATTTTGACTTGAGCCTGGAAATCCAACAGCAGCCAACATGGGGGCTGAAAACCGGCGTTGCTCTAGAGCTGTAAGTTTCCACCAGTATCAATCTGGCTGCTGCTTTATTGACAAAGCTTGCACAATTCTGTTTCCTCTGCACGTGATGGACGACCTTGGAGGACCATTAGACTGTTTTAACAGGACAAGCCACGCCCTTTCCAACCTTAGCCCATTGCTTTCAGTAGCCAAGAGTTGCCAGCCTCTATTCCTGCAGTTCCCACCCTCACTCAGAAGGCGGTTAGGTTGTCCTGACCATTTTTTTTAAAGCTTCTGTCTGATTCTTGGCAATGTGATGAACTGATCACGCTGCATGAAGCTTGTTCTGGGGCAGGGAGGGAGCAAAGAACTCCAGCAGATCAAGCGGTGCTCGTTCGCCGTTTTTGTCCTGATTCAAAAATATCACGGCAGGTCACAGGGAAGCCCAACTGAGCACAGATCAAGACGACAGTTAAGAAAAGAAGAGCACAGATATGTAAATGAAACATGGAGCATGGGGAAAAAGAATTCCTCCCTTGCTGCAGCAATACACCGTGCAGGCATGCGCTTCACCTTCCAAAAGCAACTAGCAGGCGACTCGGAGCTGGGTGCAGAAGCTTGAGGGCACGTGAACGGATTTGCTAAACCAACCTGCTGCGATGCTGCATTTTTGATCAGGGGGAGAAGGGAGGTGCCCCCTGCCTAGTTGCTCCCTTGGTGTAATTATCAGTGGCACCAGAGTTGCCTTTCAGACAGAGCCTGGGATATCTTAGAGGTCATTGAGGCCGACCCTGATCCTTGCAGGAATCATACCCCATCTTTCTATACGTTCCTACCAGAGAGCCCACTGGCTCGTGAGGTCCCCCCGCCCCACCCCGCCCCCCAAGCAAGCAGTCACCGAAATCCCTGCAAATTCCTCACATTGTCTCCATCGTGTTTTTTCAAACCAGGCCTGCTTCTTTAGAAAATCCCCACATTACAGGATCACAACTCTTACCAACTCTGCTTAGGAGGGTTTTTCCAGGGGATGGGAAAGGGAATTAACCTCTTTTCTGAAGTAGTTGAAATGCCAAGTTTTTTTTTTAAAGAGTATTATCAAAAGAAGATCACATGTGCATATGCGGACAAGTATCAGATTAATCATTAAACGAACAGCAAAAAAAGATTGGGGGCGTTGATGGGGGGCGTTCAAAGAAGTCAAGATAGCAGCTGTAACCAATTATGTAGTTGCAATCCCATCTTGAGTTCTTTTATCTCCCCCCCCACAAGGAAAATAGAAGAATATGCAAAGGATTGTGCTGTGTATGTTCTGTTCAAATAGAGAGGAAACATAACATGCTTATTCTCAGCATCCCAACTTTCATTCAATTGATGAGCACACACACATTTCTACGCCTTGAAACTGCCCTGGAAATCGGGCGGCGGGGGGCGGGAGCTTCTCCAGACCCGAGAGAGAGAGAAAAATCTGTACGTGAGCTCATTACCCCAAAGGAAAAGCAACCGTGGCATCTGAGTGGGCATTAAAGAGGTCACCCAAAGCCTTGGAGTGCAGGACACCTCCTCCCAATTCATATTCCAGGGATGGGCCAACCTGAGAAGAAAGGAAGCTGGGAAAAGGGGTGGAAGGATGGGTCCGAGGGATGCTCTGAACCTCCATCTATTAGGCACGGCTTTATGTATAGATTAAGTCCCAAGGAAAGCAAGGCCTGGCGATCCTTAGGTACGTGATTTAAGGGAACCTGCTTTCTATCCTAAACGATTTAACAAAGGCAGTTATTTAAAACGACTATGCTGTTTTCTCCTCTTTACACTCCCTCAGATACTTATAAAGAAAAGAAATGGAGGAGAAAGAGAAGGTCAGCATTTGCAAACCAGGAAAGGGTTTTGTGGTAGTAGCAAAACCAATGGATCCTTAGAGAGATTCCTGGATTAATGGGGAGGGGAAGGGAGGGGAGGGCACACAAGAGGCACAGAATGACAGAGCGTACCAGCTTTATCTCCTAGCCTGTCCCACAGAAAGGAGGATCACTGACTAGCTGTTACCTTCTTCCAGAAATGGGAACTCTGGCCTCATCCAGAAAGTTTCAAAATTCCAGGGGAGAAAAGATACACACAGAACCAGGAAGAAGACGAGTCTTTAAAAAGTCCGGTATAAACGCCAAGGCCAAAAAGGTTTTCTGAGAGATACCAGGCTACACCCACACAGACAACCCCACACAGACGGGATCAATCAAGTGGGCAACGGCTCCAGCTTCGGCCGCTTGGCTGGGGTGGAGCTGCCACCCAGCCCGCAGGATTCCTGCTTCAGAGCAGCCCTGTGTCCCAGGCCCTCCTGGGCACCGTTCCAGCGGGGAAGCGGCTCCTCCTTGCCCAGGAACTGCAAGTCTGTGGCGGTCTTGGCAAATGGTTTGGCCTCTGGCTGCTCCACGCTCTCCACCACCAGTGGCCCAGTCCACTCGGGGATCTCCAGCCCCAGATGCTTCATGAGCCTCGTCATGACGTCGTCTACGTAACCATGAATGCGCAGGTCTGCATGCTTGTCCTGAGGACAAGAAACAGAAGGAGCAAAGACGTCACGTGGAGCACAGAGCGGGGACAGGGTTTGGAGGCAGAAGAAACATCAGGCAACACTGTGGTGCAGACAAACAGACCAGCGTGAGGCGAACAGATGACTAAGGACCTTCCTTTCTTCCTCCTCCAACTAGCCAGTTCCTGCCCCAGCCCAAAAAGAAGAGGATCCTGGCTTGTTGGCTATCTGCTGCTCTTTTCCCAACCAAGCGGCTGTCCTGGAAGAGCTGAAAGCAAAGCATCCAGGGCCAACTGCCTGAGCGAGTGGCAGGCCTCATGATGCAAACTCACGTGCTTCGTGGGCTGCAGGTTGACGATCACCAGCTTCCCGCCCTTCTTCTTGGTCAGCAGGGGAAGGTCCCCGCTCGGCTTGATTTGCAGCGAGGTCCCCAGAGTGACGGATAAGGAAGCCCTCCTGCAGGGAGACGAGAACCCAGCCCTGGAGACCCTTTCTGAAGGGGCATTTGGAGTGGAAAGGTGGGGATCTGGAGCTCCTGGTCTGCCGCAGGAGAATTCTGACAACCCCTCTCTTGATTTCTCAACAAATAAGTGAGAGGAATCTCTGCTTGGCAGAATAATACGGTGACTTGATAATCACATGAGATGCGAGAGCAGGCAAGGGCTCACAGGCTGCCTGCATTCTCTCAAGCCCAATGGCAGAACTGACAGGGACGTTAGGGTTCCTCAACATCAACCCCTTGCCGGGGACATCTGCGGGGGTGGGGTCAGAAAAGCTGTGATGGCAGCCGTGATGCACACAAAGAGGGGGCAAGGCTTCAGCTATGGCCACCAATTTTTTTGACTCCCCCTGTGGACTCCCTGCCCCTGGGAAGTTTTCTTTGACACCCTGCCTCCTACGTTCTCAAACGGGGCAGAGAACATGGCATTTCCGATTCCCAAATGTTGGCTTAGTGATATTTAAACTGGTTTGGGAACACCACCAGCCTTCGCCTTGGGTTCATCAATAGCAGTTTCCCCAGCCTGTTCGCTACATAGATTACAAAAGCCCCAATTCAATGGAATTTCAGAATCAGAGATTTGGAAGAAAGCTGGACTGGGAAAACACACCTGCTGGCTTCAGTGGCTAGATGGAGGTCACGATCTGGCAGGGAATCTTCCCAGTCTAAGATGGTGTCCATTAACTTGCCTCTTTAAGAAGAACACAAAATGCACATGGATCAAACAAACTGTGAATGGGAAATAAAAGCACTTTTTGTTTGTTTTTGGGTTCCTTCTCACCCTCCCTCCCTCGAGACTTGGGGTGTATCTCTATCATCATGGCCTTCAACCTCCCTTCCTCCTGGCCAGAGTCGGAAGAAGTGAAATAAGACTGCCCCCCACCCCCTTTTCCAAACTACAGTGCCTGGGAGGGGGGAGCTCAGCTAGATGTAAGTGCTTCAAAACAGAAATATATGTCCAGAGGAGGCTGCAGCACTTTTAAAGTAAGCAGCTCACAAAACAGATGAAGGAAAGGGAGGGTCTATGGGAACAAAAGCTGATAATCTTGCGGGGGTGGGGGGGGGATGACAGAAATAGATCCTGCAAGATGTCTTCAAACAGTTCAATGGATAGTTTGGGCTTTCCTATTTAGCCAATTTGACTTTCCATCCAATCTTCAGTCCATTTTGCAGGCCCTATTTATTCAGCCATTTTTACATTTAATTCATCAACAAAATCAAGAGACTATTTTCACCTCCACCAGCTTCCAACTGTGTGTTCTCTCGTTCTACCCCCTTGTGGGCCCTTCGAGGTAGTCCAGGCAGGAAACCAAAACCATGAGTACTGATACTTCCTTTATTGTAAGGCCACAGTAGCAGAATCTTGCAAGTCTGAAGGCATTTCTCCCCTCCCCGCCTTTACTTTCCAATGGATGAGGGGGATCCCTTCGGAGACACTTTCTCCACCCACTCACCCCTTTAGACTCAGATTCAGACTGCTGCCTAGGCTGTGGCTCCTCCTCCTACCATCCAAGGTTATTCTCACAGCCCACTGAACCCCTGACCCACCCAGCTGCTGCAGATCTGCAGCTCCAGTTCTCACCCCATTGGCTGAATTTCCTGTGATGTTACCAGCATCTCCCAGCATTCCTGGTTGCTTTAAGGGAGGGATACCAGCAATAGAATTATGGCAAAGGAGGAAGTGAAAGGTCGATGTGGTTGGATGAAAGTTCATGCAGAGTTTTGTCCCATTGCTGGTACTATGGGGAGAAGAGGGGGCACCAGAGCTCCTGAGGTTGAAAGTTGAGAGGCTCTATGATGGGCCAAGGGAATGGAGCCCAGAAGTGGTTCAAGAATCGGAGGTTGTGAGGAAAGGATTGTTGTAATGGCAGAGGCTGAAAAAAAGGAGGGCCAGGTATTAGGGTGGGCGAGAGACAGAAGAACCGAGGGTTGGGCAAAGGCTGGGGAGGAATTCTCAGAAAGAGGCAAATTTAAAAGCAGAAAGAAGTTCAGGAACTCTGGCTCTCCCTCGAGACGGCAAGACATTGGTCCCCTTTCCCACAACACACTTCTGCATAGCCTGAACTCGGAATAACTGAGTAGGAAGTCAGCAAGTGGGCTGTGTTCACACCACATGCCGATCAAGGCAAAGGCAAACGGAAGCTGAAAAACGTTATGTGAATGTGTGCCAGCTCAGTCTTTATCTGACCTGATCGAGCGTGGTGTGAACAGGGCCCTCCGTCTTTGGCAGCCCGTCCTTTCAGCAGAACTCACGGGGTGTTACAGAAGGCAGCCGCAGGGCACGCACCTGCAGGATCGGAGCCCTCTGTGTTTGGAGGCATCGCAGAGCCGGCCGGTGGGCTTGAGCCCCATGGTGCCCACAACAGTGTCCCTCACGTATTGCCTTAAATGCAAAGAGAAGACAAGGCTGCAGCCGTGACGACCAGGCCTTAGCAGAAGCGTTCCCGCCATTCCAATCTCAGGCTGAGGGGCAGCTGTCCACTAATGGTCCTGACCAAGATGACCACCTTCAGCTTCCAGGTCTGCCTCTCAGTCAGGGCCGCTGACTGACTTGTGGGCTTTCCCTCTGGGGAATTAGCACCCTGACAGGCTGCTGAGAGATTCTCATCAGGTCTGGGGGAGATCCAAACTCCTGCTTTTGACCAAAATCAGGTTGCTGATGTCTGGGCAAGAGAGACCTGGCCCAGGCCACCATCACTCCGGGACTCCTCCAGAAACTGCAGGGAAGCGTTCCACTTTCACAATGCTGAGCATCCCTGGTTAAAAAACCACCATGATTAAAAGCCACATTTTTTTTTTCAGGCACGTAAATGCAGCAGGGGAAAAGAGGAACATACTTGCCACATTTCATGCATTCCTCCACGAACATGTTCCCATGCAGTTCTGCCAGCTTGTTCCTAGAGAGGAGAAAAGGAGAAAGGCGCTAGACAGCTGAGATCACTGCCCCTAAAAGATGTCACTGGAAGTTTCGTTTTACAAGACAGTAGAAATTCCTGAGACACTCATTGGAGTTGAGGAAATGTAAAAACTATACTGGATTGTGACTTGGTCTAACCCATTTTTAAAAGGATGCAAATTGGTGGCCTGCTGCAATGGAAGGTGTACCTCTGTGCACTTTGGAGGAGCCCTTCCATCCATCAGCCCTGAAGCTCCCTTTGTGCAGCTCCACGGAATGACCGCGTTCTAGGATTATGACAGGAACCCACTCCCATTGTCTACTGGTCAGTGATCCTTTGGTAAAACAGCAAATTATGGACCTGTTCTAAGATTTGTGCCAAAGATCAGCAATGACCACAACGCTTCCAGGCACACAAAGGAGCGCAAAGCAGGAACTTCACCAAGAGTTTCACTCCTGTCATGCTAGAAAAGTTTGAAGCCGACATATCCCTGATCTAACCTAAGCTCTGTTCCAGAACCACCACCAGTTTGGCCCTTCTCTGCATCCATTCCTCCTGCTCTCCCTGGGCTGTCTCCTGCTTCTTTTCCGTCCTGCAAAATCCAGGAGCAAGAAATGCTGAGACTCTAATTCTTTCACTTTCTGAAAGTGAAACTTGCAAGGGCATTTACTGGGCCCCAATCCTAAGAATAGGACTGGTATCCCGTGCACTTAAAAGACACCCCCATTTTGAATTCTGCAGCTGTGGCATTTGAGAGGCACAACTGTGTGTCCCCCAGAACGTGCTCATCACTCCCGGCACAAGCCACCATGCTGGTCTGACCTTCTTTTATATTGGAGATATTCTTGAATGAGGACTCACATGGAACAGAGAAGGTGGCTAAGGCATCCCTTTCCGGTCTCCAAGAGCCCATCACCCCAACCATTGCCCATTTGAGGGGGAAGGGCCACAGGTCGAGACCTCCATCCTAGCAGGTAAGACATCCCAAAGATACTGTGTCCCCGCCCCTGAGAATGATCTGCCAGTTCACATCAATCGTCCTGAGCGTGATGGTCTGAGGGTCTTCCTTGATATAAGGTGATTTCTTGGAGAAGACCTAGCTTGACCTCATCAGCCACAACGCTTCAAGAGGGGAAGCATTACCTGGGGAAGCCGGACCGGACATGGAGCCCATCTATGTTCTGGCTGACCAAGAAGTGCAGGATGCCAACCCTGTGGAGCTCCAAGAGAGCCATGTGAGTCTTCGATGGCCGTGCATTCTCAAAGGTAGTGTCAAACTTGGGGACCAGGCCTTGCTCTTCCATGGTCCATACACCATTAGGGCCTCTGCATGAAGAAAGGAAGTAAATAGCAGCTTTGAACCTGGTAAGAGCAGCGGCGAGTGGAATGTACCCGAAAGCTCAGGACCCTCACAGGGGTGGTAAAGAGAGGAAACTATAGTTGTACCAGGATGGAATGATTATATTCACCTATTGTTTGTCTTGCAATGAAAATGTCACGGAAAAACATTTCAGGGATAGGCTGCCTCTTCAACCTGATCTTTAATTCTACTGTCTTCCAGATTTAATCATAGGAAACAAACTTAACCTGCAACAACCTGACTTTATCAGATGAAGATCCAACCATAAGCCTGCAGTCTTTCTCTTGTATTCCCCAAAATGAGATTGAACATCAAGGCTTAATAATTCACAATTTATGCATTAAGTGTTGCTTCCAAACCAAAATCGTATCCTGATTTCTATGCAGAGCTTAATACACCAAACAAGTTATTTAAAGTCTGCTATTCCCAAACCTGGAGCCCAAAACTTTTTTGGACATTCTGAGTTAGGTAGAGCTTGGCCCCATCCTCCCATCTGCCCTTGGCTGCCCATTTCAACCACAACGCTCACAGCGGAGAAATGTAAGGGAATAAAGGAAGTTGCTGTATGCTGAATTGGTAGTTAGGCTTACCAAGGCCTTTCTGGTCACTCGAAGAATGTCCCAATAAGAGAAGGAAGGTTTAATTCCACTTCTTCCTCTCTCATGAAAGAATCCTCCCCCTCCCTTCAACCACGAGTAAAGATTTCGGCTGAGAGGGGTACAACTCCTTCTTTAGAATATATTCCACTGTAACAACAACACTTGCAACTGGTAGAGCAGGTGAGAAGGGAAGAACAATATGTAACAGTTAACACAACCCAGTCAAGTAACTTGTGTCTTGGCCTTTGAGCCACTTAGTTTATATATTAATCTTCTTTCTCTGCTAAATAAGGTGTGGACTGTCAGTCCATCTTCCAGGGATGAAAAAGGTAAGGCAGGGCAGGGCATTTTCAGTCCCTGAAGATGGGGCCTTCAGGAAAGCACAATTCCCAGGATGGGCCAACGTCCCAGTTCATAGTCCTCACCAAACGCAGCATGGCCATATCTGTGTTTGAGGCTGCAACCTTTTCTATGTTATAATGTCTGACAAAAGTAGATGGCAACCCTGCAAAGGTCTCTCAACGGTAACCCCGCCATTGACTCCTCTGCTTACAGGGTAGCTGACAGCAGGAAGCGGGGATGCCTCGTACCAGCTGGGCATGGAAAGGCAATACTTTGCCACTCCATCTGGTAACTGTGGAGCAGATAAACTCATTTCCTGCTTTGCAGGAGACAAACAAATCATTGACCTTTTGCCCCCCACAATGAACAATTGAGGTAGGTTCTCAGGGGCCACCAATGGTTCCTCTTATCTCTGCCAATGTAGAGAATCACAGCCTCCTGAGGCAGAAATGGGGTGATTTGAATTACATCTTGCACAGTTAACTTTGCCCAACCTCCCTTTTTGGATAGTGCTGGACAAAATTGGAATGCACAGTGCAGTCCCTTCCAGCACAGTATACCTCCCTCCCACCCTGCAGTCTTGGGTTTGGGGATGAGGATAATTTCTCAGATGGAGAAAGGAGCCGCCTCCTGTCTCTTACATTGTAAGAGCATGAGGAAAAAAGAAAGAAACCTTGCCTGCAAAATAGCACATAGGGGATATAACTTGTTTGTTATTGCTAAGGGGGTTTCTTAGGCTTCACCTGTTTCTCCTACTCCCCCCTGGCCATTTTGGCAAGTCTAGGAACAGGATTCTGAGATCTATGGATAGCATAGCAGGGGAATCTCCCTGGGGAGACTGGTTGAGCACTACTGGTTGGTATGGGGCCGCTGGGAGTTGCTTTCCCGCGGCTCCTTCTTCCTGTCTTTTTTCAGCTCCCAGGATGGAGCTGATAGGAAAACCATGGCTTCTTCCAGAAGGCAAAGCATAAGCATGAACAAAGAGGTTCTCCTCCATGGGACATACGAAAATGGCTTTAGCCCCACTTTCAGCACGATGTGGTGAGGGAAGGCTCTCTTGCAGAGGAGTTTTGCGAGACCAAAAATTGGAGGGCCGGCAGCACACCGAGGGAGAGAGAAATGCACTTAAGACCGATAGGCTGGCCTTCTGCTGGCGGACTTCCTCACTCAGCCTCACCTGAAATCCGGAATCCCTGAAGCTGTACTGATGCCGGCCCCGGTGTGAAACACCACGCTGAAAGAGTTCTGGATCAAGTCAGCCAGCTGGCAGATCTTCCTCTCCAACTCATCTGGCGGATCAAAAATCTGAACAGAGGATTGAAGACATCATAGTAAGCGTCGGTCAGGTCACGTCGCCGAGAGGCAGCACGGGCTCCCTGAAGCACCTCCGAAGAGGTAAACCCCACGCCGGGCACTGGCAGCCAGGAGTGCGAATGTCGCGGTGAGGCCACGAGAGAAACCACTGCCAGGTAAGAGCTCCCCTGGTTGCTGTCTGCTTCGTTATTATTCGATTTTATCCCGCCTTTCTCATACGTGGAACTCAAGGCAGCGAACGTACCGCGTACTCCTCCCTCCTCCCCACCACAACAGCCCTGTGAGGGGGGCTGGGCTGAGCGGGAGGGACGGGCCCAAAGCACCCCCGCC